ATTGCCTTTGAGGATTAGACCAGCTACAGATGCTTCCTCAGCCTGCCCCAGAGGGTTTTTAAACCCAAAAGCTTGCTAAAAATTTTTTCCAAATATTTAGTTGGTCTAATAAAAGATATCAGATTTACCCAAAGAACCTTGTCTGCCTATGTCCTTAGACTAACACGGCTACAACCTACACCCCTGTATACATACAGTTAAACATTTTATGGCTGATTTGTGTAGTGACTTAAATTGAACAAGTGGTATGCCCAAGGCTGCCTCAGGTCTGCTGCCAACAATCATCTGATTGCTGGTCCTGGCCCCAGGATTACAATGGGGTCTTGAATTGGCCTTGGTGCAGTCCTGGGGCCAGAGCTGACAGCAAATTGTTGACCCTGATCCCAGGACCACACTGGGTCACAATAGGCTGTGGGAATTTGGTTTTCAGCTTGTCAGTTCAGGGGGAGCTTGGAATCGTGGTCCCAAGCTCCCCCAGCACTGGCAAGTAGAAAGGGTGTGATTGGGATCTGAAATCGCATTTTAAGTTGTAATCCAGCTACATGATCAATCAATAAATGACATGATAAAACAAGGAATAAGCCACAAAATTGTTTCACAAAAAGTGTTACAACTTTGTGGCTTGTTCTTATCATGCCATTAATTGAACATGTGGCCAGATGTGCTCGTATATCTGTGACCATATGTCCCAGGCAAATGGGGACAGTACTGGCTTCCATAGTCTGATCCTAGCCAGTTGGTCAAAAGTCCCAGAGCAGGGTCTGGCCAGGGATCCAGAGCAACATGATGTGCCATCAGGCAGTGCTGTTCCTGTGTTGGGAACAAGGTGGGTGGACTGGAGCAGACTCCACCCTATCCACATACATGGCATGTCCTTCTTCCTGCACAGGAGCAGTAGTACCTGTTCAGCCACCTGCCTGGTACAACATGTTGCTCCGTATCTCCACTGAATTCCACTCTGGACTTTTTTGACCAACCAGGCAGGACCAAGCTATGGAAGCTGAGACTGTCCAAGCTTGCCTGAGACATATGACCACCCTATCCATAACTACATCAACTGGGGATCAAGGAGAGCAATTCACACGAATTCCTGGGAGTGTTTGGAGATATGCTGAGTTTTATTAGAATTGTGTAGATTCAGGACCCTTAAAATCACTAGCAGCAAACTGCCTATTATATTTCGGGCCAGGACTGAACACCTTAGAGCTAAATATACATGCCTTTTTTTTTGGTCTAAGATCCCTTGTTGCCCAGCCCTAGTGAAAAAGAAGAAATCTGTTTAAAAACATATTTTGGTCATTCTGCTTTTAAACCGTGAGTATGTTTTTCAGTTAACCATTACATATCTGGTTCCTTTTTAAAAAAGATTTTGCATTGTTAGGTATTTTAAACACCATCACCAACCCTGGAATTGTTCAAAAAGGTGTAGTCTCTGCATTGAGGATCTGTCAGAGTATATCTACAGGGAACTTTACTGTGTGATCAGCAATATGTTTAACAGGTTTTGTTTTTAGTAGGTGCAGGTAATTACACCTTTGTGAAGTTAACTGTAAATTTTTTGATTATTTAGTAAGAAGCTTAAGCTACAAAGATCTCTCTCTGGGCACCATAACATTGTAAACACAAATATTTTATCTTAATGAGAAAGGCAGACTGCAGTAGCACCTCCAGGGCAAGTCTACACAAAATGTTTACTGTGGAGCAGACTAATTAGCTCCACAGTAAGTGTCTCACATCTACACATCTATTAGGCTGTGGGAAACTAATTAACTCTGCAGTAGAGTAGTACTTGTAAATACAAATACTATCCTGCTGCGGAGTTATTTACTCCACAGCACTGCACGTGTAGACACTGACATGGCTGGCTGGGGCATGAGAATGCTTCAGTGCGGTGGCTGCCTGCTGGCTAGCCCCATGCGGGAGCACCTTTGTGCCCCAGCCAGCCCTTTCATAGCACATTGAGCCATGTCATAGCAGCCCTGGGCTGGAAGGCTGACCCCCCAGGTCTCCTGCCAGCCAGGGTTGCTCCAACTGGGCTCAACATGCTGCAGTCCCAGGTGCATGTGTAAACACGACGTCCAGGAGCAATAAACTCCAGCACAATAAGCACCAGAGTTTATTGCTTCGCCTTAGTGGCATGTGTAGATGCATCCAAGCAATCGTAAATATACTTGTAGTGGGAGGACAATCAGATATACAAGCACAACACTGCTGTACAGGGAATAGATTTTTAATGGGTCAGAACCAACATGCAGCATTGGTTTAACTATATAGTCAGGAGAGAAGTTTGATAGGCTTTCTGGCACAAAGTACACTTCTCCAGAAGTTGCAAAAGCAAAGCATACTTCTATACAATTGATCCATTATATATCAGGCCTCATTTATGTGTTATAGGTATTGTGCAATTAACTGGTTAATTGTGCAGGTGCCTTGAGACCAGCTACACATGGAAAGTACTTATCATCCTATACAAAGCTCCAACCATCTATAAATTTAGACCTCGAAAATGTGTACTAACTTTATAGCTGGTTGCTATTGAGCTTTAATTTGCATCTAGGATTGGGCTCCCTCTGCACTGGCAATAAGGCATGTTTGGATCTAATGGGCAATCCCACAATCACACTTACTGCTGTACACAGGAGGAGGCATGGTTGTGCAGATCACGCATTAATTCCCATTGTGCATTTACTTGCACGTGTAGTGGGGGCCTCAGTGTTGCTAAAATCATTATATGCTCTTGTTTAGAAAATGAGTAGAATAAAATAATTCTTAAAATGTTTCCCAAGGTATGTTTGTAGCTCAAATTTTATTTAAAAAATATATAACTTTTTTGGGGGGGAAATCCATTTTGGTAAATTTTTGAGATGGTATTTTAGTTCGTGTTGCAGTATTTACTTTGATCAAGTTGACTATTTTTTAAATATTATTTGCAGATCAGTTTTAATCCTGTGCTGGGTACCCATTGTGTTTTGTAGTCCTCCACTAAAGACAGGAAAATCCTGCTCAGCTTGCTGTAAGGATTTCTGTATAACTTCAAAGGTGCTGTTTCTGTTAGCAAGGCAAGCAGGGTTTGACTGCATGTAGGAATCAGGATCCCACATAGACTACATGAAAGAATATTTCTTTAGTGTTTTTATTGAACTGCCTCTATTTTACTTAAGTTCTAATGTTATATGTATGTTTGATACAATACTTTGTCGACAAATAAAAATATGTTTTTGATTTCAAGGGTCCAGTGGAAAGTGATCTATTCTGTTTTAGAAGGTAGAAGAGATAATCTTGTTGTCATGGCAACTGGTAAGTTATGTTTAGTATGTGCCTTTATAGTAAGGGAACAAATGTAAGCTGTTTTTAGGACTGTTTTGTAGTAAATTTCATGTAGATAAATCCATACAAGATAATTTTTAATGTTAGAAGTACAATAAAGGGGAAAGTAAGCTAAGAAGCAGGGCTTTGAGGAGGAATTGGAATTCTAGTCTTTTTAATACATCCTATTTATATGTTATCTATAAGGATATGGGAAGAGCCTGTGTTTCCAGTTTCCACCTGTTTACATGAAACGTACAGGAATAGTCATCTCTCCTCTCATTTCTTTGATGGAGGACCAAGTACTGCAACTTGAGTAAGTAATGTAACAGTAGCTCATTGCTTCCATATCTCCAGTGGTAATCACAGACGCTGCATTTGGTGTCTTTAAATGTTAAAGGGTTCAGCCTTATATGATACATATTTTATATGCGCAGTAAAATGCCTTATTTTTCAAGGAACTATAAATAGCCTAATGCTGTTACTGATAATAAAGTGCTCGGCTAAATCGCTGCAAGTAAAATTTGTAAATGACCAAAAGATTGGAGAAGTAGTAAGCAATAATAGACCATTTTATGCAGAGCTGTCTGTACTTATTGGTTAGATGTGCTCATTGATTTAAAAGTCAGAAATTTTGATTATCTTGTGTAACATACCATATAACAGGGGTGGGCAAAATACGGCCTGTGAAACCATTCTATCTGGCCTGCAGGGCCCCTAAAAAATTTAGAAAATTAATATTTATCTGCCTTTGGTTTCTGTCAAAAGTGACAGGAACAAGGGGCAGTAGGATCCAGGGGAAGCCCGGCAGGCTCGCACAACAGGAGGGCCTACCCAGCCCTGCCCCGCCCAGCCGGAAACCCCAGGAGGACAAGGGGCCACTTTTCCCCACTCCGCGCTCAGCACCACCTTATAATTCAAAATTCCCCATAGCCCACCCCCCCTGTAGGCACCCCTCCCAGCACTGCCACCACCACCAGCCCTGTACCACTGAGCCCAGCCCAGCCCCCACACCAGGAAGAGGCCAGAGCAGCTTCTGGCCTCAGACCTGCAGCGGGCAGCCTGCCTCCACCTTACGCACAAATCCAGGAGTAACAGGTTAATAAGTATTTCTTTTATAGCTAGTGGATTGATTAAGGCAATAATAGAGTAACAAACCACCTGGAAGATTATGATACGATATGGTTTAACTATCACAGTTTTTGTGAAGGAAAATCAAGTTTCACTAATATATTGACATTTTCAAAATGAGCTGATTTAATTTAGCGGAGTAAAGAACCAGTTGAAGATTTTAGATATTGAAAACCCATTGCTAAAGTTCTGTGCAAGAAACTAATAGAGAAAATAAGTATTTGTGGAGTAAAAGGTGAAATATTGTCATAAATTAGGAACTGACTGAGAGGTATTGCAAGAAAGAGAACGCAGATTTTCTTGAATGAACCAAATCTTTCTTCTGCTATCTTTTTACAGTATGTCAGACATTCCAGCTTGTTTACTTGGAGCAGCTCAGTCAAAAAATGTTATAGGGAACATCAAAGCGTAAGTTTCATTACTTTTTTTAGCACCCAAGTCCTGAATACAGATACTGAAATTCTTTTAAATGCTTTTCAATAATTTTAATAAATTAACTAAAATCACTGTATTTATTTTAATTGGGATAGCCTTCTTCCCTCCCCCACAGGCACGATCCTCTGGCACCAATGCCAGGGAAGTCTTCGAGAAGTGGCTCCCAGTCCAAAACACTGACAAAATTGATTCTGGTCCAACCGGTTCCCTAGCCATCCATTCTGAGCTATCATGGAATGCCTGCATGCCATTCAAAAGGCATTCTGTGTGAGAGGCAGGCAAGGTTCTTTGGGTAGATGTTATGTCTTTTATTCGACCAATTTTTCCAATTGGAAAAAATGTTTTTTGCAAGGGCCTTTTTTCTAGAGAAGGCTGAGGGGGGACCTGGTGACCGTCTATAAACTCACTAGTGGGGACCAGAAGGGTTTGGAAGAGACCTTGTTTCCCCTAGCACCCCCTGACATAAGAAGGAATAACGGCCACAAGTTGTTGGAGAGTAGGTTTAGAGTAGGTTTAGATTAGATATCCATAAGAACTACTTCACAGTCAGGGTGGCTAGGATCTGGAACCAACTTCCAAGGGAAGTGATGCTGGCTCCTACCCTGGGGGTCTTTAAAAAGAGGCTTGATGTCTACCTGGCTGGAGTCATTTGAGCCCAGTTTTTCTCCTGCCCAGGCAGGGGGTCGGACGTGAAGATTTACAAGGTCCCTTCCGACCCTACTTCTATGATTCTATGATTCTACCTTGAATATCTACTATTGTAGAGTGTCCCTTACTCACCTTGGCTTTTTTCCCTCCCTTCCCTGCTCTTATCTTTTGTTTTCCTAATTTCCACCTGTTTACATTCTCACTGACATCCTATCACACTTTTAGCTTCTTTCATTCCTTGGAGTCTCAGAACAGCAGAGATTTCCTATGCCGGAAGAAGGGTGATTGCACCCAAAAGCTGGCAAAAAACTTTTTTCCAACTACACAGTTGGTCTAATAAAAGTTATCACATCTACCCAAAGAACCTTGCCTGCATATGTCCTTAGACCAACGTGGCTACAACCAAAAATCCATTCTCTGCAAGAGGAACCCAAAGTGGGCTTGTGAGTCCTGTGATTCTCCCAGCACACTCTGAATCTTGTCACATGGCTCAGCCTGTTTGTGTTGGTCCAAATACCAGTGTTAGGATTGTCCCCCTGGTGCTAACAGTTCAGTGGTTTTCTGTCTGTACCACAAAGTACCACCATTTTGAACACTTAGTGCCCTCTTCTGCCTATGTAGAAATATTTTCCTTTCCCTCAGCTTTGGTGACATTTTTGTCCAATGATTTTTTTTTCCTCTCCCCTTCTGTGATTATACCTTCTCTAAAATCTCTGGGCTTTTGGAGGTGTCCATCATGCATGGGTTTTATACTGGCCTTTGACAGTTGGAGTACTGCGTCCAGTTCTGGGCGCTGCACTTTAAGAGGGATGTGGACAGCATCAAGAGGGTCCAGAGGAGGGCCACTCGTATGATCAAGGGGCAGCAGGGTAGGTCCTATGAGGAAAGGTTGCGGGACCTGAACCTGTTCAGCCTTCAAAAGAGAAGGCTGAGGGGGGATCTTGTGGCCTGTTATAAACTGGTTAGGGGGGATCAGCAGGCGCTGGGGGAGT